TTATTTTTCAATTATAAAAAATGATATGCAATAGAATATAGAGATTATATTATTTTAAGATACAAAACATAACTACTTTACAAATTTCGAAAGACTTCTTTATAGACTACATTATTTGTACAATTTGTGGGAATATTGTCTTCATTGCATATCAGAATCTTCAACCCACTACGATTAGTTACTCTTGAAATTGTAATATAAAGTTATCCAACACTAAAACATGTTGGATTATTGTTACGGAAACCTGTGATAAATCCTAATTACTCGTAGCTTCATCGATCATTAACATTGATGACCACTTATCAACATTTTTCAAAGTAGTTAAGATCTTCATTTTTCGTAGGAATGACAATTTTGAAACGTATGGGAAAAAATTCACGATGAATGTAATGACTATGAAAGCTTTGTAAATGAATGTATTTATAATATGATTTTTGCATACGGGTTTAAAATAATTATTCATATTTTCAAAGTACTATAACGAATTTAAATGACTATTACTGTATTTAAATTATTTAATTTATTATATTTAAAATTACTATAATTAAAATTACTATGATTAAAATGATACGGTAATTAATACGGAGTATACAATAATCTAGTCACACGGTTCTATAATTAATACCTTGGTTAATTATTACCTTTTTTGATTAAAATTACTATAATTAAAATATAGTAAAATATAGCCATTATAAATAGCCACTATGATTAAAATATAGTCATTATAAAATTACTATTATAAAATTACAATAAATAATTTGACTCGGTAATTAATATACAATTATGTAGTCACACGGTTATATAATTAATACCGTGGTCAATTATTACCTTTTTTTATTATTACCTTTCTTGCTAGTATAATTTCAGACACTTTAAAAATGACAGTTAATTATTATCTTTCTTGCTATTAAACGTGCATATGTGTGTGTGTGTGTGTATACACTCTCCGTCCCAAAAAGATTTACACCTTGCAAAAAAATTGTGTCCCACAATCTCCTACTCATTTCTATTAAAAAACCACTTTTACCCTTTACTTTTTCAAACCCTATCTATCACATCATACCTTTTTCCTAATAATCTACACATCACATCCTATTTTTACCCATCACATCAAGGATATTTTTGCAAAGTCAACACAAAATTATCCCTCCCTTAATTTCTACTTTAGTCAAAATGGGTAACACTTTATGGGACGGAGGGAGTATATATGTATATATATATATAGAGGATATTTAATTTTTACAGTAGTTATAGTCTATTTTATGTTACTATAATTTTGGATACTTTAAATTATTATAATTAAAATTAAAATAATGAAAATGACACGGTAATTAATACGGAGTATACAATTATGTAGTCACACAATTATATAATTAATACCTTGGTTAATTATTACTTTTTTTATATTAAAATTACTATAATTAAAATATAGTAAAATATAGCCATTACAAAATATATCCACAATAATTAAAATATACTCCATTCGTCTCAGTGTCTTTGTCCACTTACCTTTTGGCACACCATCCAATGCACTTCTTTAATTCATTTTATCTTGTAATTTGTATATTAAAAAATTATAAAAATTATATATTAATAATCTATATGTTAAGACGAATCAAACAAGATCACACATGACTATTTTTAGGCTTACACATTGAGAGAATTTGATGAGTCAAAGTGCTTAGATGAACTGTTCCAAAAGTCAAAACTAGACAAAGACAATGGGACGGATGTAGTAGCCATTATAAAATTACTATAATTAAAACAAGATCAAACTATAACTTTTTTCCTTTAATATCTGTAATGTTTCTGATAACGTCCAACCAAAAAAGTCTTTCGAAAACGAATGCAATTAGTATTGTATAAATCCTTAAAACAACTGATGTTGAACAAAAATCGGAGTGGCGCAGCGGAAGCGTGGTGGGCCCATAACCCACAGGTCCCAGGATCGAAACCTGGCTCCGATATTTGAATCTTTTTACCGTACCGATCTGTTTTTAAAGTATATATAACATTTTTCCGTCATTAACAAAGCAAGGGGATGTAGCTCAGATGGTAGAGCGCTCGCTTCGCATGCGAGAGGCACGGGGTTCGATCCCCCGCATCTCCAATCCTTTTTTGCCACAAAAAATGACCTTTTCTATATGCTACAAAATGAAATTATTTACTCTAGTTCGTTCTCAAAAGTGAGATTGTTAGTTTTAAGGGGGTAAATTTCAACTAACAAATCTCACTCTTTCTCAAATTTTATGCAACATTTCAAAGAATTTACAAAGTATTTTTTTAAAAAAAATTATTTTATTTATAAATTAATAGAGAAATCAAAGTGACATTCTTTATGAAATGGAGGGAGTATAAAAAGAGTGATGTTTTCACGGTTTCAAGGTCCACATTAAAAATATGGACATCCTCACAATTTACATGGCTTTCATGTGGATATTTTTTATTTTGTCAAAGGCTCAATCCTTTTATGCTACAAATATACTAAAGTCATAAAACAAGCATGAGCCTTATGTTTACAGAAGTATTTTCCGTACAAAAAGTACTCCTTCCGTCTCACAATAAATAATATTTTTATTATCCAAAAATCATGATGGCTTTTATTTATTTGTATATTTTTATTGATTAATTTATAAAATATTTTATTTTTTTATCACCATTTGTTTTTATTAAACTTTTTAGGAGTTGATATTGGCCCAGTTTAGCATCAGTTAGTGAATAATGCTAGTGTTTTAAAAAAGCTATCTGACGGTAGCTTTTAGCGTTAACGTTCTCAGAATTAATCTACATTATTAAAATTTTATTCAAAACACTAGCTCGAATCGAAAACAATGTTCCCAAACAAGACTATTAACACACCACATTTGTTATCCATACCCCACATCTTTACTTTCTGTGTGGAGTATAACTTAGCATGTATCACATTGGCTTAATGTTACATTGGAAACCCCCCATTGAATCGTAAACCTTAATCATCTTTAAAAAAAAAGTAATTGTATCTTCTTCACTCCTTGTCACATGTATCACATTGGCTTAATGTTACAACGTTGATATAATTACTTTTAATTTAATTTATTTAATTTTCAATATAAAATTTGTTTAAAAATAAGAATACCGCCAATTTACAATGTACAATATTTGAAAAGAGTTCTTTTATTTTTTTGAGAATCTGTTATAAAATGTTAAAAAATAAAATTTAAAATTCAAAAATTATATAAAATAAAAGGGTATCTTACTTTTTTCAATGTAAAAAAAGATTTTTTAGAGGTAAATATATTTTAGTCCTTAAAAATAGACGATATTTATTTTTTTGTTCTGTAAAAAAATTATTTAAATTATTATTGTTGTTTTTTTATTTTGAAAATGGTCCTTAAATATAATTATCAATTCTAAATACTTGAGATAACACATTTATTTCATACTTGATATCCTAGTCATGTATTTTTTATTACATCAGCCACAATTCTTATGTGTTGAGAATGATCCTTAAACGTAATTATCAATTCTAATTACTTGAGATAACACATTTATTTCATACTTGATATCATAGTCTTGTATTTTTAATTACATCCAATGCAATTCTTATGTTTTACATTGTGTCTTTATTCTTTTTATATAATTTCCAAATCTAAAGAAAATAAAATACTAAATGGGTATTATAAAAAAAGAATTTGGGAAATGGGGATGAAATTTTATGCTGGAGTAAAGGATACAATTTATGACGTGAGAATTGTGTATGAGAAATTTACAAATGCAGGATTGCACTACTGAGTACAAAATATATGTGTTATCCCAACATATTAGAAGACTTGATCATGTTTAAAATTTTTTATTTTGGTTTACGAGGTTTAGGTGACAATATTTTGTTAATTTAATTTATTTGATTATACGTATAAAATTTAGAAAATAAAATTTATACATTTAAAAAATTCATCAAATCTTAACAAAACAAGAAGTGATATGACTATATTATTTCTGAAAAAAACTAAAATAGGATTACTCCCTCCGTCCCAGAGTATTTGTCCACTTTCATTTTCACACCATCCAATGCCTTTCTTTAATCCATTTTATCTTGTAATTTGTATTTTAAAAAATTATAAAAATTATATATTAATAATCTATATGTTAAGACAAATCAAACAAGATCACACATGACTATATTTAGATTTACAGATTGAGAGAATTTTATGAGTCAAAATGCTTAGATGAACAGTTCTAAAAGTCAAAAGTGGACGAATATAGTGGGACGGAGGTAGTAAAATGTATATACAATTGATAATTATGCCGATATATAATAACAAAAAGTATTGTGAAATATCCATATATGATGCCACATTATCACAATATAAATTTTTATTTTGAGAATAAAAACATAAATATTATAGTTTGATATTTTTTTATGTTTTAATTACTTCTATTTAGGACAAATTTTTTATACTATTTTATTTAAGGTGGTTGTTTATTTATGCTTTATTTCTATTTAAGGTGATTTTTTTAGACTTCTTACTAGTAACATGACTTAAGACAAAGGTTAAAAAATAAATCAACATGAGATTTTTTTTATTGTGATACCATTTAGAATTTTAGTGTTTCAACCCAAGAGCACACACAATAATATCTGTAAAATTCAGCATTGTTTTTTTGCAAGAGACTGAATAAATAGAAATGCTAAGTCATTACGATGATTTTTGAAAGTGAATACGTAATAGAAAGGATAAAATAAAATTTATTGAAAGATCAACGTGAATTGAAGTGAATCTACAATACTGTAAACAAAACAATTTTTGAAAACCAGAAAGTGGATAGGAGGAGAGGTAAGCCTTTGACTGGAAGCATTGAAATCTTACAGTTTTAACTAACATTACTCCTAAGTCAACGACTGAATCGGAGTGGCGCAGCGGAAGCGTGGTGGGCCCATAACCCACAGGTCCCAGGATCGAAACCTGGCTCCGATATTTCTCTTTCCCCAGGTAATTTGTTCAAACGAAACACAAGAGCAGCGAAGGGGATGTAGCTCAGATGGTAGAGCGCTCGCTTTGCATGATCCCCCGCATCTCCATTTTTTTCATATGTCATCGTTTTTAGCCGGCCGGAGAAGATTAATTGTTTTGTAACTGTACCGTCCTTGTAGAATTTCTCTGGTATAAAAAACTGCATATGCTTGTTGCTCAAACAAACAACTGAAAACCTTATCCTTTTTTGAGCTATGGAAGGTTTGATTAAGGTACCATACGATGCCACTGTCAAAGTTATGTTAGCTTCACTTGAACGGAATCTGTTGCCTGACGCCGTTCTCCGGCGGCTCACTCGCCTCTTGTTGGCTCTCCGTCTCCGTTCCGGCTACAGACCTTCCTCCGACCTACAGCTTTCAGATCTCCTCGATTTCGTTCAGTGTGAGCTCCGATTTAAGTTCTCTTTCTTTATCTTGCACTCTTTCACATTGAATCTGTAGTTTGTGAATGTTAATTTTGGATTCATTTAGAGAATTTCTAACTAAGAAAGTAGGAAAACTTTTTAAGTATCAATGGAAGAATTTTAAGGGCTGTGAAGATTTGACTGGAGAAGTAAAAAAAATTGAAGTTATGTTCAGGAATGGAGAAAGGATTAAAGAGAAGTAACCACTTTTTCAGGTGGAATTTTGCTTAGATCTATTGTTTGAGTTGAAGTCTAAGAGAACGTGTAGAGAGAGTAAATGAATTTCAAGAAGTAGCAGCAATGCTTCATACTCTGTATAATAGTGCAAGTGAAAATGCTTATAATCGATTTCATTAGGTTTAGGGGATTGATTAGAAAATTAAAAAAAAGTTCATAAAAAAGTTTATGAATAACATGAATATTTGTTCCTAATTTTTTTCATGTTCTTCCAGCTTTAAAGGAGATGCCCGTTGCTATAAAGACGGACATGCCAAAGACTCAACACTATGAGATTCCGACATCTTTCTTTAAATTAGTTCTTGGCAAACATTTCAAGTACAGGTAGTTGATAAGCTGATGGAATTTTAACTGATTTGATCCCTCGCATTAGCAAAGTCTGGGTTATTTTACAAGTTAAATGTTGCTACCCAGTAAAACCTTTTCTTTCTCTAAATTGTTTTATGTATCTGATGATTGTGTTAGTAGATGTATTAAACTTGCTTCTTTTTCTTCATGCATTATGCTTGTGAACCACAAATTGGTAATTTTTCTTGGGGAGAAATAAGCCGGTGATGTTAAAAAAAACAGGATTTTGGGTATACGCTTGCTCGAGTTGATAGACATGATAGTGATCAGTGCATGAAATTCTGCAGCTGTTGCTATTTTGCTGATAAATCAAGCACGTTAGAGGATGCTGAGAAAGCAATGCTGGAGTTGTATTGTGAGAGGTCACAGTTAAAAGACGGCCACTCTGTTCTTGACATAGGATGTGGCTGGGGATCTCTATCTTTGTACATAGCTCAGAAATTCAACAACTGCAAGGTTACCGGGATCTGCAATTCAACAACCCAGAAAGCATTTATTCAAGAGCAGTGCCAGTATGTGTTTTTGATAAATCCAGTCAATGCACACAATTTGCTGTTCTATTGACATCGGTTGGAAACTAGTAAAATGTTTTGTTTCCTTCTTTATGTAGGACCCTTCAGCTGCGCAATGTGGAAATTATTGTTGCCGATATCAGTACATTTGAGATGGAAGGGACATATGACCGCATATTCTCCATAGAAATGTTTGAGGTCAGAACTCTTTTTTTTTTCTTCCCCACAATTAAAGCTGACCTGACCAACTGATATTTTGGGTCTTTCTCTTGACAGCATATGAAAAACTATAAGGATCTTCTCAAAAAGATATCCAAGTGGATGAACGAGGACGGCCTTCTTTTTGTTCACCATTTCTGCCATAAGACGTTTGCGTATCATTTTGAGGTATATATAAGTTACTTGGCCATTCTTACACAGCTACACATCCTTTTAGTGTGTTTACAAAGAGATTGCTAACATTAGGCTACTGTATATGGCATGTAAAAAAATGTTTATTGTTTAATTTCCCGTTCAGGACATTAGGGAAGATGACTGGATTACTAGGTACTTCTTTGAAGGTGGCACAATGCCTGCTGCTAACCTGCTACTCTATTTTCAAGTGAGTTATATATCCTCAAGCACTAATAACTTAAATTCATTGCATTAGCTGTGTTGCCCAACAACAACCCAAAACTTAACACAGTAGCAAGAGAAGTTATATGTTCCATTTTGATTTAGTCCATTATGTGCTCGAAACTAAAAACGTTGGCAATAATGACTCTTTTAGCTTCATTGGCAATTGACTCGATATTACATAATTATAATCCTGCCATATATTTGAAACCAGACAAATATACGATATTTTCTAATGTATTATCTGATGCTATATGTGCAGGATGATGTATCTGTAGTCAATCACTGGCTTGTGAATGGCAAACATTATGCACAAACCAGGTAGGAATAACTTAAGATTTGTGATTGTCAAGCATTTCTTGCACATTTTGATGGGGTATACGCATTGAAATTCTTTGCGTAGCGAGGAGTGGCTTAGAAGAATGGACCAGAACTTGGGCGATATAAAGCCAATAATGGAGTCAACTTATGGAAAAGATCAAGCTCTCAAGTGGACGGTTTACTGGCGGACGTTCTTTATCGCGGTGGCAGAACTCTTTGGATACAACAATGGAGAAGAATGGATGGTTGCGCTCTTCTTGTTTAAGAAGAAGTAACTGAGTAAGTATCCATACCAAAAATTACTGTTGGGTTTCCAAGCCTTAGATGTGAGATTTCATGTCCTGTTTTTATAATAAAGAAGTCATTGTTTAGTGTATTTCTTGGGTGAATGTAAGATGTTCTATATCTATTTTGACGTATTTCTCGCGTGTAATTTCTAAGATATGCTCCTTCCGTCCCATCATTTTTCCTTGTTTGACATGGAACGTTTTTTATAAAGTAAAGAGTGTGATATGTGTAGATGAAATAGAAATGATATGAATCACATATTTATTTCTATAAAAAAAAAGAAAATTTTGGGACATTCCATATAAGAAAGTAACGACTAGCTGCCCACAATTAACTCGTTTTTGCATCGGGCCAAGTCAAGAGACCCCATCATTTATCAACAAAACTAACGACTAGTTGCCCACAATTAGTGCGCACTATTTTGAATTTTGATCAAACATGTTTAACACGTCGGCTATCTCGCATTATTTTAATTGGCATCCTTAAATAATAATGTTTTAATTTAAAATGAGCTTGATATTTTTTTTGCATAAATCTATATAACTTTATTTTAAATTTTGTAAAAAATTAAATGAGAACATACATATATGAAGGAAGAAATAAAAATTGTACCCCGTAAATTTGTTTAGTTAAACACAAATTTCGTACTTTTCTTTTTGATTCATCTCAAAATATTTATACTTCTTTATTTTCCTTTTTTAAATAAAACGAAGAAAATTTGATGAATGCTTTTTGATAGACCTTTTCACAAAAGATGCATTTTTTTGGAATTATTTTACTTTATAAAGAAATTGCTTACCAAAGCAAATACTCGGTATTACTTACTCATCTCATATATATGTCTATCTAAAATGATGTATATACCTTAAAATCTTCATAGTTTCTGGCGTGATTCAAAATTCTTTTATCATTTTCAAACGAATTTTAACTTTTCATCTTTTACTTGAGAATCTTACATATAGGTCTATCTAAAAGAATTTTTTTCATTATCTTTTACTAAAATAAAAGAAAAATTATTCTTCGCCTTTAGTATATTTTGTCCTTTCTTTAGTATATCTTTTACCAATCTCACATATAGGTTCTAAAAGAATTTTTTTCATTATCTTTTACTAAAATAAAAGAAATTTTATTCTTGGCCTTCAGTAAAACAAATGATTTTCTATGTCTTTTTTTCCGTTTCAAATTTATCATTTTTATATCAATAAAAAATTATTGGTTCCAAAGGAGACCTAAACAGCTCAGGTGGCTCCACCGTCGACCGCCCGGTCCCAGCGGAGCCTTTGGATTTGGCAGAAGAATCCCAACAGCTTCTTCTTCTTTTTCTCCATGAAAAAGGCTCTCTATTCCTTTCCCCTTCTTCTTAACACTACTGTACTTCATCTTCCTCTTTTTTCGCCCATCCCTTCTTTTCTTCCCTTTCACTCCATTTCCGCACCTCTTCGTTCGTGCGATTCACTCAAACCCTAGTCCAGTAAAGAATCTTTAAGCCACCCCAGAGGTTTATCAGCTAAAAGGTGCCCGATTTCCCCGGAATCTTGTATTTCCGTCATGGGGAACTGCCTCGACAACTCGATGAAATCGACGGCGGAGATTGCGCCCGCCGACGTGATCAAGACTCAGCCGACGGTCAAGCTCTACGGGGCGCCGTTCGGGATCGAGACCTACTGCGTCCGGTTCGCGCTCCTCTACAAGCCGGTGACGCTGATTTTCGTGCCCTCCGACCGCCACGAGACGCCGGCGATCGAGTACAAGTCGCAGACCGTCTCCGGGTCGCTGGAAACTCTGGTTCAGTTCTTGGATGCGAAGTTCCCGGAGCCGCAGCTGCTGAAGGGGAGCGTGGGTGGGTGGCACGGCGAGACGACGCCGCTGGTGGTCTGGGTGGCCACCCTGCAGCACCGGAGCATGCTTTGGCACCTGGATCGGATGGTGAGGTGGGCGGAGGATCTGTCTTCCCGTGGGGGGAAGATGCCCGGAGATCCTGCTATGGGGAGTCCGAGAATGGAGATTCGCAAGTTCGCCAAGAGATATTCTCAGCTGCTGGAGCTGTTTCTGGAGCACGCTCAGATGGAGGAGAGGGTTCTCTTCCCAATCTTGGAAAAAGCCGATCGAGGTATAATCGAATTTACACCAGTAATTGCTCTTATCTAATCATTTTCATTTACCTTAATTGGGAAAGTAAATGCATAGTGTTAGAGCAGAAACTGTTCTTAGATTCTTCATTCCATTGCTGAAGAATTGCTTTCTTAATATAGTATTTGGAAAGTGATTGTTGTGTTGATTATCTCCAGAGATGGATAGATTGAGTTTATGAGTAACTATATATGAACTGAGAAGAAACTTGCCTTGTCTGGAAACAATGTTTTCAGTTGGCAATTTGGCATTTTGGACAATTTTCAATGGTGCAAATTAGCGTTGAAAACCTTAAAACTAAACGTCGTCATTAGATAAAAGTTTTCAAAATGCTAAAATTAAATGTTGATGCTATTGCTAAACATGCTATGAGTAGTGGTTCAATTAATTTAGGTTAGTGTTTGGAAACTAACATTTCATTTCAATTCCACAATTTGAATTCTTGAATTTCAAATGACAAGGGTGGTATACAGATTTCAAATTTAGCTTTATTATGTATTAGAAGAATTTGCCTAAAACCCAAATTTCTTAAGGTTCCCAAGCATGGGATTTGATCCAAATTTGGATTTGAAATCCAAATCCAAGTTCCTAAACATACCATAGAAGAATTCTTAGGAATCCCTTGAGCACGAGAGGGGGAATGGGCAAGAATTTGTTTTACTAGAGTCTTTGGTTGGTTATAAAACTAAATTTCCAGGTGCATGATGGTTATGGTTTTGTTGCAAAATAGAGTAACTGTATTGATAGTTAGTATTATTCAATAGGATTATGCAAAGGTGCAAATGAGGAGCATGCTAGGGATCTGCCGGTGATGAATGGTATCAAAGAAGATATTAAATCCATTGGAGTTCTTGAATCTGGGAACCCAGTCTTCCAAGAGGGCCTCTCCAATCTCTCAACTCGTCTCAAAACCTTACAGGTACCTGCTGTGCTACATACTCTGATTAAAGGCCATTTTATTTATGCCTTAAGGGTTTGTTTAGATCTCACGGAAAGATGATAGGTAGGAAAGTGTTGATGAAAATTGGCTGGCAAGAAAATTTGGGAGAGAATAAAAGATGGACTAAACTGAATAATTTTATTTTAAATATATTTGTTGAAACTCATTTCATTAAGTTTGGACATATATGGACAATAACAACCCTTTGGTAGGGGTGGGTGTACGGCATTACGTAGACCTCACCTATACGGCTCTACCTATAAAAGTAGAAGGGTCGTTCCCAAAAGACGCTCAATTCAAGACAGAGCAATCAAATCATAAAAGTGAGAACAATATGGCAAAGCAACTAAGGAGTTGAGAAAAGAAAAGGTGAAGAGATAAGTTTTGGTTCTCCTTGCTTCTTGTGATAGATAACTTTGAGTTCAATAGTTGACAACAAGCAACCAAGCTCCCCATCTTTTGTGTTAGAGCTTCGTCAAGTTGTGCACTTGTGTGCATTTAGTTTCTTAAGGATTTATGATAAAAACAAGTGCATTTGAGTTTTCGAGATCTCATTATATTGGCACAATGAAACGTCCAAACTTATTTTAAGTATGAAGTGAGTACCGGGTTGTTTTTGTTGTTGTTGAGATGCAATTGGGTTGTTGTTGTTGTTGAAGTGAATACCGGCACATTTTAGTTGATCTTTTACTTTTTTTTACCAATTTTTTTCTTCAAGTTTAAGATTTTCCTGAAGCTGTCTGCATTCTCTGTTCATAATTAATCACTTTTCATTCCAAATGCAATCCATTGATATTTTGAATGATTTTCAAACGGTTCTTTTTTCCATTGTAGACTTGACTGCTAAACAAATACGCCATTTACCAAACACCCGTTCATGTTGCTATTTGTTAAATTCCTCAACTCTTAAAATCAAACATTATTTATAAAAATCATCTGAATTCCACGTTGGGGATGATAGATACATACCCCAAGAAACTGCAAATGTTATGTGATTCTGTCATGAACACTGCAACAATTTTGATTCCTATTTTTTTTGGGAACCAGGAGCATTCGAAGCAACACTTTGAAGAGGAAGAGAGGAGGTTGCTGCCGCTGCTGGAGGCAGCGGAGCTGACCAAGCTGCAGCAAGTCTCATCCTTGGAACAGTGCCTGAGCACGATGGACGGGACCCACTCGCGCCTGTTCCGGTTCTTCATGGAAGGGCTCGTCCCCCAGGACGCGATGCAGTACATGGACATGGTCGCCAAGTGCAGCGACAAGGACCGGGTGTGCAGGCTCTTCAGGCTGGTCGTCGAGAAGGAGAATAGCTTCGGCAGCACTTTGGGTGGTCCCCACTAACATTGATGATGATGGTGATGAGGAAGGCAAGGAATGTATGGGCAAAAGGAAATGGCTCCACATTAACTTGTAGATGGGTGTGGTTGGTTGGTTAGTTTCCTTCTTTACTTCTGCTTTTGTAAATGGTGACGAACTAAT